AGAAATTGGTTGGTTTGATGTACATAATGCAGGTGAATTGAGTAATCGTCTTATCAGAGATTTAGGTCAGATAATAAATCGAAATATTTATTTCTTTATTATTATTTCATTTTCAATATTTATAGATACTATCAAAGAGGGAATAAAGTATGTGAAACTAATAGAATTTGTATTTTGTTCAAGGGGGAAACAGCAGACTTTTGTACTTCAAGTACTTTACGCTACTTTAAAGTATTTCGAGGTAATTTAAAGTACTTTAAGCTACTTTGAAGTACTTTAAGCTACTTTGAAGTACTTTTTGTACTTTATTGTACTTTTCCACTTCAAGTCTGCTATTTCCCCCTTGCATACGTCTGAGGTCAGAATACGACAGTATCGAGAAATACTCGAAAAAGTTCATTTTCAATAATAACAGCAAATCTGCTTTTTCTCAAAAACTGTAAAATGACCTTTTCAAAACTATCCAGTATTTTATCACAAGACATTCGTCTATACAAAAACTGATTGTTAGGGTAACATGTACAGTCTTAGTGAGTTAGATTAATATGAAAACCATGAAATCTGAATAAGTCACTGAGGAAGAATAAGTCTATGAAAATCGTTTCAAAATAGATTGAAAATCCTGTATAGTCTGACCAGGTCTAGAAACATCGAAAAGCCTCCGTACTGCGAAAAAAGTGTACAGATAGCAACAAAAAAAACTTTTATTTTTTGCTCGTTCTCGAAAGAACAAGCAGAGATTGTTATGTAGTTTTTTTTTTCTATATTTCTCTCTCTCCCTCTCTATGGTTGTCTTTCATTGATATGTGCTCATATTTGTTTATGTTGTTCGTGCATCATTTATTGTATTTGAAAAAAAAAACAGAAAATTGCCTATCTATCTTGTTAAAAAGAAAAAAGATACACAAAAGAGTTATACCAATAAACTATTCATATTTTTTTGGTTCTTTCATTCATCAGAAATGGACATTCTTTCGTTTTGTTTTTTTTATATATTTCATTATTAAAGTTCAACATTTGTTCCATTCTATTTTCAATCTTTATATATGAACAAAAACGCAATGTATCTATTCCGAATATGAGAGTTTTTTCACATTATTTGACTAAGAAAAAAGATCTTGCATACTTTTGGATAACTTATAAAAGATATTGCCACCTAAAACACAAATGATATTCCTTTAAGAATCGTTAAACATGAACTTATTTCATGTAAACTTTTTCCCTCTATGAATATTTATGATAGACCATTTCAAAAATCTTATCTTTTTCTCGAAATGTTCATCGAATAGAACACCTATTCGATTTTACGAACACATAGAGTTACATAATCGGTCGAAAGGAGATGTTACAGTGGCAGAACGGAAAGATATGCTCTTCGCGGGATTGGAAGCACGCATCTTGTACTATCTGGGAAGATGTTCTAAGCTAATTAGACTAGAAGAGACAACACTCTCTTTGCGTCTTAGATTATTATCTTCATTTACATAATCTATCACATCGTTTCCATGGTGAATTCATCCTGTTTATAAGAGCAAAAATGTATGTTGACGAACCACATCTCTAGCAATATTTCTTTCTAAGCATTTCGTTTTCACTTATAAATTTAAGACGTATGAATCTGAAGATTTCCTATATTCTTTCAATATAATAATATGAATAAATTCTACCTAATCTTCTCATATTTAATATTTGACATTTTTTTTTCTTAAAATATTGATAACTATAACAATAAATCACTAATTGTTACTTTATGTTACTAAAAGTATTCCTATATGAAGAAGAAGAAAATCATCAATCAGAAAAATGTTTTCTCCACTTATTCGTTAAAAGAAAATCTAATTTTTCTTGTTTTATATTTAAATGAATAAATGTGTTTATAATGTTTGACATTTCAAAAAGAAAAATTCATGAAAATAAATAGTTGACACTTAAATAAATTAGTTATATTATAGTTCACTCGTTTTCATGTTTGACATAGTAAGCTAGTGGAAAAAAGTTTCGAATAGTATCTATTGATTCATAAGATGGCTTCGATGTTCTTAATGTTGCCACTCTAGAGCAATTGTCTCTTGCTTGTTGTTGATTTTGAGAGATTATTGCCAACAATATATCCTTGTTAATAGTGAGTTCGATTAGGGAAGGATGATGATTTTGACAAATAAATTGTTCAGCATAATCGATATGAATATCGTATAAAATAAGTACAGCTAAATGAGGAAAATCGATGTTAGTTTTCATTACTGATAGGCTTTTTTCTTGTTGTTCAAGTTGATTAATTATTTCAAGTGTTCGAAGTCGAGGTAGGGCTCGAGTCAGACGTTCAAAGAAAATATTTTCGAATGGTTTAACATCATCAAATAGTAATAAAATAGTAACATTTGAGAATGTATTATTAATATCAAAGAGTGGAAATCGATTTGAAATAAAGTCAAGACGAGTACCAATAAATGGAAGTGAATAAATTTGACATTGTCCATAGTTATTCTTAAAATGATCGAGTACACAATCAAATGGTTGTTGCTCTTGAAGAAAACTTTGGCGAATTTGATCAATTTTAATATGAGAAGCATGTTTTAATATTGAACGAATATGATAATTGAATTGACGTAAACGAGGCATGTATGAAAGAATATCTCTTTCTAAGATAGATCCATCAATAAAATGATTCGGTGTAACACCATCTGTACCTATAGCGAATAATAATTTTAAATATTCAACATTTGACAAACGTTGTAAAAGGGAAATACATGGTTTGTAGTTATTAAAATTATTATACATTATCATTGTCAGTTGTTTTAAATGAGGACACGATATCTAAATTAGTAAATTCATTGAAACATCAAATCAAAAAATCTTACGTACCAATCGGATTTCAGAGATTAAATCAAATTCGTTCCCAAAAACCTTTGATATAGTTACTGTGAATGAATGAAGTTGTGAGGCCAATTGATTGAGTAAATGAAGGCATTGATGAAAACCCCACAAAGTTATACGAAGATGAGTTAATCGACTTAGTTGATCGAAGTATAATTCACCATTGGCAAATATTATGGTTAAAATAAGATTCTCATCAAATTCTAATGATTGAATAGAATGCATAAGTGATGAACGACACAAGGTAGCTACATTTTTCCCAAGAGTGCAGTCGGGTAGTGCAACAAATTGAGGTGTAATTGCGAAGAGAGGTTTACGCATTTCAAGAGAGAACATCTGATAGTTTCCTAAATAAATGTACACAAATATCACAATATGAAATTTGTCAAGCTGATTATTTTGGATAATGATGGGAGAATACGTCAACAAGACTTTTGTCTCTTTTCTGGTTATAGTTATTGAGAAAAAAAGCTTTTTGATATGTTAAAAGAAATGATATGATCTAAAAAAAAATTTTCAATCATTATTTTCAGTTGTGTAGTCATTTTCTCAACAAAACTAACGAATGAATTTCGTATGCCTAAAAACATCAACAAGAGATTTTAACATTGTTAAATGAGAAAAATCTTCCTTTGTTTTTTTTCCTCACAGAAAATAAACTAACGCGATATACAAAGACAATTGAAAAAAATTCGATCAAACAGAATTTACCTATTGTATAAAGTGTGCCGATTTGAGAACGTTTAGTACCTAACATTATTTTCAAATGTGTCAGATTTGGAAGAGTTCTATTGCAGTTATTTTCAACAAAAGTTTGAATAGAAGATATCTGATAAAGATTAATTGTTAATGATTTAATATCATGAATAATACGAGGCATGACATTGGAATAAAATCTTTTCATAAGTAATTTATGTGACACTCGAAAATAATCAAAAGTTAAATCAATTGAATGACATCTATCAAATGCAAGTTGTTCTAAACGATAATTACCGATATTAATCATTGAACAAAGAAATAAAACTTGAGGGTTAACTTTTTTCATAATAGTAAATATTAATTCATCCAGTAAATCGACCAGTTCAATAACACCTTTCATAGAGAAAAATTCGAAAATAAATCATTTTGAAAAGTAATGCTTGATTAACATTGTCAAAATGAGAATCAATCATTATTGATCAATTATGATAACAAAGGAAATGTGCTCTATAGAAAAAAAGATATAAATGAACCAATTAGATGAAAGTATTTTGATCGTCAACTATAATTTATTGATTTATAATATATTTAGCTTTAGCAATGACATATAATAATAGTAGTAGACTAATGACATAACTAAGAAAAACATGGGTAATATATAATTGTTGTATAGTCTTTGAAAAAAAATCAATCCGGAATATTGTAAATTATGATATTCATTAGTTATTTGTTTATCCTACTGAGATTATAAATAGAGACTAGTCCATTCTTAGTTACGACAAATATAGATATGGTTTTCTCCAAATTTTACGATATTTTTCATTTATCCATTCTTGAAAAATTTCTATAAAACGCAATAAAAAATAAAAAACATCTTTTAGAAGAAAATCCATACTTTACTATATCCTATCCGAAGTACCCGACGTTACCCGGAGAAATTCAGTATTTCATTTGTAGCAAATGGTAGTCTTCTGCTTTCCTATAAGTTATTGATCTTAGCTGTCGCAAAATACGCTCAAAGTTCATAACAAGAAAAGTGATCACCATCATTTCCCACAGACCACGATAGAGTTTTTCGATATGTAGCTCTCAGGGGCGTAAGTAGGGCTAAAAAAAATGAGAGCTTGAAAGATTTTAGAGTTCGCCACCCATTTTCTTGCTAGCGACTAATGGTCACCCTAATTTGAAGGATAGGTCAAGGAAAACTTTTCCGAAAAATACGGGGAAAAGCAGGCATTTTTCGCTTTTAGAGAGCGAAAAGCCGAAAAGCTTTCAAAATTTAGGAGCAAGATGTCTCATCTTCTAATATTTACGTCGCTGACATCCATTCTTATTTTCTGTATGGTGTTCAGCATGGCGCGAGCCTTTCATTACAATGAAAACGTCTCCACTATGTTTCATATTTTAATCTCATAGGGATTATGCTCAAAGATTTTTTCGTTTTGCGAGTTTCATTAATTTGAGAGATATGGTTTGAACCTTCTAAATAAAATAATGGGGCAACATCGGGTTTGCATGATTCAATAGAATCAAACTTCTCTATTGAATAGTCGTATTTCAAGGCAAACTTCAATTCGAAATCTTTTTGCAATATAGTTTCCAAAATTTCCACCAATCAATTCACCTGATTGATCGGTTTGCTGACCAATCATATTTTAGCATACTTTCATTTCGTTCTCGAATTATTGAGAAAAGAGTTACACACGGACATTTTAGATGGAACATCTACTGTAGTGCTCCAACAATGGGATTACTAAGTATTTCAGAGATCAAAATTTTCGATTGAAACATATTCCTTGACCTTCTTCTGGACGAAAGAAGAGATCATGCAAAGTTAAGCTGCATTGGCTCCTACAGGGTTCAAACGCATAAAGAATAAACAAACTTTCTTTATATATTAGATTATTCATATAACGTATGTATAACTATCGCTTATCTCATCTTAATTTTTTTTTTTATTGTCCTAGTACATGTTTATTATAGTTTTATAGTGATATAATATATTTACACATAGCAGCTATCATTTGGCAATATCGATTTATTTAATCATTTTGATTGACTTAGTTATGCAAGAAATAAATATTGATTCTGAATATAATGCAGTAATCGTGCTCAGAAGTAGTTTTCGTTTTGTTCATGATCATGAACGAAAGGAAGCAAAACAATGATTACACATACTCATTAAAACTGTGGTATACTAATTAGCGGTTATCCTTTGATAGAATAGTCTATAAAGGGAATCCCCCCTCCTAGTGGCGGCGCCAGGGGTGGGCTGGGGTGGGCTCAGCCCACCCGGAACTTGATTGAGCCCACCCTGGAAGGTTTTTGGTATTGATATTGTTAAGAGAGTTTTTTATTTGCATAAAAGAGATGTAACGCAACGTAAAAAGGTCTTTTGTAATTAAATCGAAGTTTAATTTCTAAACCGTTTCTAATGCTTTTCAATTTGAAAAGAAATCCTGTAGATGCCAGGTACATACTCAAAGATTACCTGAATGATAATACTTCTTAGAACAATAGTTATACCATTAGCTATTTGAAGAATAAACACGTTCTACAAGAAGTTTAGTGAACTATTGTATTCGAAAACCAATGTATGATAATCATCTTTCTAGTTGAGTACGCCAAAGAACATTTAAATCTTTGAACTATACAGATAATTAGTGAATTCGTACCGAGTGGATATAAGTTGCCTTATGGAGAGTCTTTCACTACATTTATAGTATTTGAAAAATTATGTACCGTTAGAAATGTCCTCAGATAGGAAAGTTGATTTTGCCTCACTAAAGCTAAACCTTGACTCTTTTGGTGCAGATCAATGGTTGAAAATTCTGTTGCTTCGAATCAATATAGTGCAGAATTGTCAGACTTTGTAACACTTCAAACATTCAAATAGAACTTTCAAAATATTTTGCGCAATATAACAGATTTCATCCTTCATAAATGTATTCGGCTTTGTCTTCCAATTATCTCGACTAGACTGTTTTCGAGTCAAATTTAGCAATGCTCTTTAGTATTTTGGCCGACAAAACTGACCATGTTGGCGACATTGTTTTCACAAATGTTTGACAGGAGGTAAAAAACGATATCACCAAGGATGTTCCGAAGTGGCAAGAATTGGAAGGAGGTCAACGATTTTTTCGAAAAATTTTCAAAGTTTTTTATAAATTATAAGAATTTTCGAAAAATGTTTCGAAAATTTTCAAAAATTTCTTGAAAAATGTTTCGAAAATTTTCAAAAATTTCTTGAAAAATTTTTGAAAATCGTCGGACAGCGAAAACAAAATTTTTGAAGAATAGGGAGGAAGTGATCCCGGACCACCGTCGCTCGGAACACCTCTGGATACCACCTAACAAATCCAAATAATACAAATTTATTAGTCGACTATGATTTTGCAGCTGCTGTTTTTTAGTAAACAGAAAACTTAGTCTCTTAGATCTTCTTGTAAGAAAATCCTTCGATTTCAGACTTCAGAAAAGAAGAAGGTAATTAGTTCCTTTAAATAATCATAGTAATGGAGAACCGTAAATGTTGGTAAGAGGAAACGACAGAGATCACTGAAGGGAGAGCGCAAATATACATGAAAGATGGTTTTTGAAGCTCATATGAAATAACATAAGGTTAAGTTTCGCGCGATTAGATTGTCGAAAATCGAGAAAAATTTTTCAAATGGAGATGATCATTCCTTCGCCTTTTCCCCGAAATTTACCGCTGAATCACAGCATTATATTCCTATCGATACCCAACAGTAATTTTGGCTTGAATGTTTTGTAGGAGGAAGGAACTGAAGAGATATTTTTTGGTCATCGATTTTTTGTAAAAACTCTGGGTGGGCTCAGCCCACCCCGGCGAAAAATCCTGGCGCCGCTACTACCCCCTCCCTTAGAAAATCGAATTTTTCAAGGGAATATCGAAGTTGAGTTTTTATCATAGGAAGATGCAGCGAAGCTTCCTCTTTCAGAATATATATAGCTTTTTGGAAAACGACCAGATTTTTCAAAGACTTATCATATAAAACTTTGACTCTACTACCATATTTTCGGAGAAATTTTCATGTGTTACAGTTTTGAAAAAACTGCGTTGTCACTTACATTAGCATTGAGTAGAACACTTTTATATTACCCAGCATGTCAGATGGCGTTAGTTACCTTCATCTCTTACGTAGTCTAAAACGATCCACTGGAATGAATTAATAATATACCATTGTAATATGATTTTTTTCTGGATTTGAATGAAAAAATCCAGTTCTAAAATTTCTTTAGCGTTTTTCTCAAAATACGGTTTCCAGACAGAAAAATTGAAATAACTCCGTCTTGTCTCAAGCTATAACCAATAATTTTTTTTTGTTTTAAAGGTCTTAATGAGAGTAAGTTTTTGTCCGAACGGATTTTTTATAGTTGGTTCCTGGACTGAGAAAAGTGGGATTTACTGTCGTTGGACCACCATTTTTTATGCTATTTTTAAGACCATCCCACTAAACTGCTCATAAAAAATGAATGAGATTGAATTTCAAAATTCTGTTCGGACAAAAGTTGCGTACTCACATTGGCTTTAATTTGACACCAACCCGAGCTTTCTATCCCATCTTACGACGAAGTTATATCGATTCTCCTGAAGGTCAAAAATGACCTGTGAATCAGCTGGATATCCGGTCTAGTGCAACCAATCGAGCTAAAATTTTTACCAGAAGTGTATCTCTCCAAGATCACTCATTCCTGGAAATTTCAGCCCAAAAGGACCATCTTAAGTGGAAAATCGTTTCTGAGGGGGGGCTAAATGATAGAAAGAATGCCAACAAATACGAATTGGTAGACGAAAAAAGAAAATCATCAAGAGGAAGATGATGAAATCAATATGGATGCATAGTATAATATTGAATAGTCTTTTACTAACCAGGAATCTTTCGAAGAACACATCTGGACTCAGTGACTAAGTAGTTCATAGTCAGTTAAGATGCCATTTTTCAAGATAGATCAATCATTATCTCTATGAAAGAAATTGAAATAAATATGTTTTAAAAATTGACAAAACTTCTGTTACACTTTTTTTTTTTGCACCAAAACCTATTGTTTATCCTCTCTATACAGTTAATTTGATGATTTATTAGTATTTTTATATAATTCTATAGTTCACAATGTTTTCTAGTAAACATCCAAGTATAATCGTAAAATAACAAAAAATCATTGTAAGAAAAGCGATTGAAGAAATAACTCCTTATCCTAAATTTTTGACGGCAAACCACTCTAGTACTTTAGATCAGAATATATTTATATGAAAAGATGCGTCTTTTAATGCTCTACAACATATCCTAAATTCATTTTAGACTTTTGAAAAATAATTTTTGTAATATAAATGAGAAAAGTAAAAATGATATGGTCAAATAGGCTCAAAAGTCATCG